TGAAAACTCAGTTCTGCTCTTAGAGAAGGTACCTGCCCCGGGCAGCAGGAAATCGGGGGACCCCAAGGAAGAGAGAAAAGTGCTTACAACCGTGTGGCTTTCAATGACGCCCCCAAGCTTCTCCAGGCTCTCCCTGGAACCGACCTGGCGCGAGACCCTCGCGCTCGCTGTTCCTCCACTCACGCCACACCCATCTTCTAGACCCCTCCCTGCCCCCCAGAGCTCTGCCCTGCACTGGCCAGACTCCTGCCTCCACGTTGCAGCCCTCGGTGACGGCTGAGGGGCCAAAGAACTCAGCCAGGTGCAGGAGCAGAAAGGGCCTGGAAGACAGAAACGAGGCCCCGGAAGCAGGCTGAAAACAGTTCCAGGTGGTGTCGGAAAACCAGAGGACATTGCGAGCCAGATTCCGAAATGGCCAAACTTGTCAGTATCGACCAGCGCTATTGGGCACCTCCGGTTTTGGGTGCCTGTTTTCACAACGCGCTGGGTCTATTTCCTCTGTGATTCGAGCCCCGTGAAAGGCGCCCCAGGTGCCCACAAACAGAATCACGCCCAAATCGCTAGCTGCTTTGGGGACCCTTGGTTGCCGCCGGTGGTGGTGCTCCAGGGTGGGGGATGAGGGGATCCTGTTTTGAAAACTCAGTTCTGCTCTTAGAGAAGGTACCTGCCCCGGGCAGCAGGAAATCGGGGGACCCCAAGGAAGAGAGAAAAGTGCTTACAACCGTGTGGCTTTCAATGACGCCCCCAAGCTTCTCCAGGCTCTCCCTGGAACCGACCTGGCGCGAGACCCTCGCGCTCGCTGTTCCTCCACTCACGCCACACCCATCTTCTATGAAAACTCAGTTCTGCTCTTAGAGAAGGTACCTGCCCCGGGCAGCAGGAAATCGGGGGACCCCAAGGAAGAGAGAAAAGTGCTTACAACCGTGTGGCTTTCAATGACGCCCCCAAGCTTCTCCAGGCTCTCCCTGGAACCGACCTGGCGCGAGACCCTCGCGCTCGCTGTTCCTCCACTCACGCCACACCCATCTTCTAGACCCCTCCCTGCCCCCCAGAGCTCTGCCCTGCACTGGCCAGACTCCTGCCTCCCAGTTGCAGCCCTCGGTGACGGCTGAGGGGCCAAAGAACTCAGCCAGGTGCAGGAGCAGAAAGGGCCTGGAAGACAGAAACGAGGCCCCGGAAGCAGGCTGAAAACAGTTCCAGGTGGTGTCGGAAAACCAGAGGACATTGCGAGCCAGATTCCGAAATGGCCAAACTTGTCAGTATCGACCAGCGCTATTGGGCACCTCCGGTTTTGGGTGCCTGTTTTCACAACGCGCTGGGTCTATTTCCTCTGTGATTCGAGCCCCGTGAAAGGCGCCCCAGGTGCCCACAAACAGAATCACGCCCAAATCGCTAGCTGCTTTGGGGACCCTTGGTTGCCGCCGGTGGTGGTGCTCCAGGGTGGGGGATGAGGGGATCCTGTTTCTGACCTACTTCCCCCCACTTCCCATCCCTGACACCATCTCCTCAACCCCCCCGGGGCAGGAGCGATCAGGGAACGGAGCCCCCAGATCACCTAACCTGACCTCCTGCAAGCCCCACGCCACTCCCCACCACTCTAACTAGACCGAGGGTCGAAACCCACAGGAGCCTGCACTGCTACGCACCACAGGCCGAGATGCACCCACCCCCAGGCCTCTGCAATGTCAGGCAATTGATTAGGGGAGATGTACCCCCAGGATCCCAACAAACGGCCCATCCTCCAGGCTGCACCGAAAGGTGAAACCCCCACCCGAGCTCACTGTTGATCTGACCGTGGGTCGGAGAGGGAGGATTCCTTCCTGCCCCACAGCTAAACCCGGCATGTGAGCAGAAACCCGCCCGCCTTGCAGTAGAGAGAACGAACACTTGGGGTCATCTACGGGCATTGGCCCATTCCAACCAGTGACCCATCTCTAGCTGTGGCTGTCTCGGATGCGTCGAAGGAAAGAGACCGAAACCAATCAACCCAAAACCACACGCAATCCATTGGTGCGGGGGGAATCCCTTCCTGAACCCATAAATAAACCCGCAGGCCATTTCTGCGGCATGACTCAGAAGGAACAAAAGCATCACAGGAAGGGGGGGGAGCTCCCTCCTGCCCCCGGGCTGCTCGGGGGACCCAGGTTCTAAAAATAACATTGCTTCTTGACCCGCGATATCTTGGAAAAACAGCCCCAAGCCCTCCCGAGCCGCGCAGATTGCGGGGGCTGACGTCAGCCGCGTACAGAGGGATATTCCCGACGCTTCTCTTCTGGAGACACGATGTTTTTCTGGCCGTCGCCTGCCGGTCCCCTGACACCGGCCGCATTTTTTTTTCTACCCTTCGTTGTACGGAGCTGTAATTTCCTCCCTGGAGAGGGCGGTGTGGCTGGGGGCTGAACGCGCGTTGGGGGAAGGAGGCGGGAGCCTCCCCGATTTCTCCCCCACCCCGGCGGCAGGGTAAGCGCACAGATCCCCCCGCCAGCCTCCCCAAAGACGCAAGAGACCAAAGCATCTCCGGAATGAACAACTCTCCGATTTCCCACAATCCCCCGATGAGCCTGCAACTGGCGTCTCCGCCTGGGGCTGCCTCGGCTGCCAATGTTCGGCTAGCCCTTGTCCTCGGCAGTTCCGTTGTTTTCTCTGGAGGGATGGGGGGAATCAGGCTCCCGACCCCTCCTCTGCCTCCACAGGCGGGTTAAGCTCCGGGCCTCTCCTCACACAACTCCCCGCCACGGGAGGACGGCAGACTGGATGACGCACGGCTGGCTGGCAGGATCGGCCGTCCAGGAGGACAGAGCACAAGGGGTAAAACCCAGGCTGGAGGAGAAAAGGGAAAAGCCGCCGGGTCCTCCAGCTGAGGCGAAGCCAGCGTTTCTTCATCCAAGCCCACAGGCGCGCGTCGGCCAAGGCCTCCCCCGGGTTCTCCCAGTGCAACCCTCCTGAAGTCAGCTGGGTCGCCCTGGTGCCGCCCAGGAAAGGCTGCCGTACGCAGGGGCAGAGATCACGTGCAAAGGAAGCGCCCTCCCGCACGCCAGGTGCGCGTCTCCTCCGGCGTCGCCACGCGGCCCGGCGAGGGGGAAGAGGAGCCACTCTGG